ATGCACTGAAAAAAAGACTCAGCATCTTTTCTCTGATATTCCTGCCATACGCTTCACAAATGTCAATGTCATGAAATACATAAAAAGACTCTTCCAGATTAAAGAAGACTAAGGAGATATAACAACTGAATGCAATGCATGTCTTGTATTATCTTTTGCTATAAAGGACATTATTGGGACAAATGGCAAAATCCAAATGAGATCTATAGATTAGATAAATGGCATCATATCAATGTTAATTTCCTGAGTTTGATAGTGGTACTATTGTTATAAGACAATTTCTTGTTTTTAGGAAATACATAACAGAAGTATGTGGCAATAAAGAGGCATTATGCCAGCAACTTACTCTTAAATGGTTGAAAAAAAGTATATATTAACTGATATACAGATAAGGAAGAAGGGAGAAAGTAAGCAAGAGAGAAGATAAAGCAGATGTAGCAAAATGTTATCATTTAGAGAATCTGGATGCATTTTGTACTGGGAATTCTTTATACTATTATTACAACATTTTCTGAAATTATATCAAATTAAAAATTTTTCTTAAAAGGTTAGGAAATAAAAAAGATATACCAAGGAAAAATAACCAGAAAAGCCTGGTATTAACATTAAATAAACATTAAGGTAATAAGTATTATTAGTGTCCTGTTATATCCCAACTACCTAGAACAATGCCTGGCAGATAGCCCATACTCGTAAAATACTTGCTTAATTAAGGAGTTAGCAATAAAGAGAGTTAATACATAACAATAAAAGCAACAATTACCAAGAAGATATATTAATTTTAAACTTGTATGCTTCTAGAAACATAACTTCAAAATACTGACAAATAGTTGACAAATACATTGACAGTAAGCATCAACTACAGATACTAACCACATACCAGGCAATAAATAAGTAAATAAAAACCTCAGCAAACTTTAAAGTACCAATTACACATAATCTACATCTACTAGTCACAATGCAATTAAATTAGAAAAGAATGACCATAGAATAAAAAATCCATACATTTCAAAACGTTAAGGTGTACTTCCAAATAACACATGGATCAAAAAAGAAATCACAATGAAACACAGAACTTAGAAAATGCTTAGAACTAAACAATAAGAAAAATACTAAATTTCAAGACTTATAGGAAGAAGCTGAAGTGATTTTTAGAGGAAAATTTATAGGCTTAAATGCTTTTATGAGAAAATTTAAAAGACTGAAAACTAATATACAAAATATCCAACACAAAACTTGAGAAAGAACAAGATAAAACAAAGGACATATACAATTGTTGGTAATATTAGTTCCTATTATTTTGGGGATATCTGAAATGTTTCAGGATTTTTTTTTAGTTTTATTAATTTTTTGCTTTAAAATTTTTTATTATTAATTTTAATAATAAAAAAATGTTGTGGGTACATAGTAGGTATAGGTATTTATAGGGTACATGAGATGTTTTGATAGAGGCATGCAACGTGTAATAAGCACACCATGGACAATGGGGTATCCATCCCCTCAAGCATTTATCTTTTGAATTACAAACAATCCACTTACATTATTTTAAAATATACAATTAATTTATTATTGACTATAGTCACCCTATTGTGCTATCAAATGGTAGGTTTTATTCATTCTTTCTATTTTTTTGTACCCATTAACCATCTCCACCTCCCCTCAACACCCCACTACCCTTCTCAGCCTCTGATAACCATCCTCCTACCTCTATATCTATGAGTTCAATTGATTTGATTTTTAGATCCCACAAATAAGTGATAACATGCGATATGTGTCTTTCCATTCCTGGCTTATCTCGCTTAACGTGATCTCCAGTTCATTCATGTTGTGGCAAATGACTGGATCCCATCCTTTTTTATGGCTGATTACTACTCCACTGTGTATATGTACCACATTTTCTTTATCCATTCATCTGTTGATGGACACTTAGGTTGTTCCCAAATCTTAGCTATTGCAAACAGTGCTGCAACAAACACAGGAGTGCAGATTATCTCTTCCATATACTGACTTCCTTTCTTTTGGGAATATACGCAACAGTAGGACTGCTGGATCGTATGGTAGCACAATTTTTAGTTTACTTAGGAACCTCTAAACTGTTTTCCACAGTGGTGGTACTAATTTACATTCCCACCAACAATATACAAGGGTTCCCTTTTCTCCACATTCCTGCCAGCATTTGCTATTGCCTGTCTTTTGAATATAAGACACTTCATAATTTTTAAAGACAAAGATGCCATACAAACTAAAAATATTTGGTTTGAAATTTATAAAATTTCAAAAACAAAGATTGGTAAATAAACAAACAAGCAATAATTTTTCTACATCAAAAACATCACAGAACGTTTCTCTTCAAGAAGGCAAGTAGGTTGCATTTGTTTCACCTTCTTTCCAAGATTCAATGGGTGAAGCAATAAAAATACGCACAAATGAGTACATTCATGAAAATCCTAACAAAAGAGTTATCATTAACTGACCAACACTTCTGATGAATTTCAGGCAGTTGAAAAGCTGATGGAACCTTACTGGAGATAACCCTGGGCAGGAAGAACTGCAGCTCAGAACTGCAAGAGAGATGTTGTACTCAAAGGCAGCAATTCTTTCTGACTGAATGCCATCTTACTCCATGCTGGGTCAGTGCATACAATGAACAAGCATGGACTATGGTGAACTGTGCTGAATCAAGTAGGTGTATAATTAAAGATCTGTCTACTCAACAGCTATTTTTAGAATACCAACAAACCCACCCACTCCCACTCCTGTCATGAATATAAACATGTACAGAGCAGCTGGCTGAAGAAATCCTCAGCTAGAGCCTAAGCCAAACAAAATAGAGTATTTGTCAAAAAAGGATGGAAAGTGTGGGTGTTTTATCTATAGAGATGATTAACCACCTCTACATAAATCAGAGGGAAAAAAGAAATGGCAGCTTCACCTGGCACAAATGAAAACAAAGTCTTTCTACCTCCGAAAGTAAAGTCTTATTTTGGCAGTCACTGAGTGAGTCTGCCTTTTCCCTTTCACTTACACTAAAAGGAAATTCACAAATGTGTGGGATTCAAGAACTTACACAAATCTATCATTCTAGAGTGAGATCTTATGGTTAAAAAGATCTACTCAACTGCACAGGATACCCAGATACTCCTTAACATGGTCCTTCATTTAAAGATTACCAGCTACTGAGGAAAATCAAAACCATGAAAGAAAAAAAAGCAAAAAGAGTAAGTGTGGTGACTGATCCTGGAAAAAAAAATGATGGGAAAAAAAGTATCCTCAGATTTTAAAGTCCCTTGAATATTTGAAGAAAGAGATGCTTTGAAAAAGAAGTAAGAGTTGGATGAAGTTTATTTATCCATATATTTCACAATATATGGATATAGTAAATTTGATATATAGCAAATGACTATAATTAATATGCATGATACTTATTGTCTTTTTAACTTTTAGAAATTAATACAATTTCCTCTTCCATAAGTTGTTTACTGCTGCCTAAACTATAACAGTAGTGATTAAACCTAATACTCAACGGAAAATTCAGTAAGCAATTTCCTGAATATGCATTATGCACTTTCCAAACGAAAGCCAAAATATAGGCAGGAATATGCTAGGGCCAGTAGATTCCTGTTCCCTACTCTAACAAAGCGTTTTGGAATCTTACCAGACCCAAGGTCCTAAGGACAAATTAAGTCCTGACTGAGCAGTTCTTGGAGATTTAGCAACGTAACAGGTTATCCCAATCTGAATGTCTTTTAAATAAACAGTCCAGTTCCAGTATTATATCTAATCTGGGAAGAGCTCGACAGAAAGTAGAAGTTCTGGAATAAATCTGTATCTTGGATAGCATACTAAAATTGTCCTAACCTTCTAGAAGAGATGAGCATTACCTGACTCATATTTTCTGGGAAACCTTCAAAATAAAACCAATCTGTACTACGAGACCTATAAATAAGGTATCATCTGTCCTCCAGCCTTTTTAAGTGTACCATTTACAGTACACTTAATTCTTTACAAGGGGACTCAATGTTGAAAGAGTTAAGAGTTATATTGTGTCTTTCAAAGTGCATAAATGATACCAGAGAGGACCTAATGCAGTTTTTCTATAGCATTTAAACAAACGAAACTTCTTAAAAGAGCAAATAATGTTCCTCATTACCCGTATCATATCACAAAGCAGAACAGTTATATTTCTAATGCTCTTCACATATGTACAAATACAAAATATCTCAGCATCAAGCTTCTATTTAGTTGCTGACCTTCAGCAAAATCATAAATTTGACCAAGTTCATCTCAGAGTTCCAGAATTCCCTTTCCATAGTTTTGCCCCCACAATTGAACTCTTTTTCCTCCTGCTCACATGCCAGTTCTCTACCATATTCATGTCTTTTTTCAGAGTCAATAAACCAAAAACACCCTAGAGTCAAACTGGTCCAATGTCCTCATTTTAGAAAAAGCTAAACTGAGGCCATGAGAGTTGTGATTTACCCAAGGTCACACAGCTAATGAGGGAAGAAGCTAAGACCAGAATTAGGCCTATGATGCCCTATGCAATGCTTTTCCCACCATACCAAGCTGCCTCTTTAAAAACTGCAAAGCATACAATACTTATGTGTATCTTCACAACTCTCAACCTCACATCTCTGTGCCTTTTCCCTCTTGGTACAATAATTTCTCAACTTTCAGTCACTAGTAACCCTCTTTCTTATTAATTCTATACCCAAGACAAAACAGGAAAGGATTTACTACTCATTTATACCAAATGATTCATTTTCTGATAATACTTCTATTGTGTTTCTAACATTATATTTATTCTTTAAAATGGAAAATACCTCAATACCTCCCAAATCAACATATTACAGAGCTTAATAATTATATCCACAATTTAAATTCAGAAAAAAACTAAATAACCGCAGATTCTTACTTTGCAGAAAGTCATATTACAGCATTTGTTTCAATTCTTTGAAAAAAAGCCACAAAGTACATATCAATTCCATTTTAATACTCACCACAAAAGTGATTTGATTGTGTCGCAAGTTCAGTTCAGTTAATGAATCCAGCCCATTAAGATTATCAACGTGACTTAAAAAGTTCCTAGCAAGATTTAAAACTCTCAACTCACACAAATGATTAATATTTTCAATTTTGGTAATCTGTTAAAAAAAATAGGAGAAGGATGATTAGCAGGCAAAAGTCTAAAATACACATCTTCTAAAAACCCTAAAAATAAAATATTCAAAGTCACTGGATTCAGTGGTAAGTTTATATGTAGACATTTAAACATCTATTTTCAATTTCCTATGTTGTAGATAACATGAAGTCACGTAACTTGTAAACATTAGCTAAAAGATCATATTTTACAATTTGACCATAGTAAACACTTGAAGTAAATGTCATCAAATAATCAATTAGTCCATTGGGCAACTTTAAGTGCCCAATCTGTCCCAGGTTCTGTGCAGGCTACATACTACCTGCCAAACAGAAACATACTGTAATCCCAAGGCATAAGCTCATCATGTTTTAATAAAGCAAGTCTGGCCTCTGACAGAAAAGGCAAGGGAAAGGAATGACATCAAGTTACCCTTGTTAATTCTATTTAAACTGCAAGATCTTGACAGCAGTCAAGTCTGAATGGAAAGGGTCAAGGAACTAGGATTCCCAGTAGAAGATGAGGGTAATTATTTTTAATTAATTGAAAGCTGCTACATTAATAAAGATGGAAAATATTTAGTGAGGGTACAAAATGGTGAACACTGTTTAAAACAAGAGGACTTGAATCATGGAATATGCATGGGCATATAATGTTACGGGATCTTTGGGGTGTCATTTTTCTGACCAGAAACCTCTGTGGCCAATGGCGTCTTTGCCCGAGTTTTGTTCTGGCCCACTGAGCTCATTTCACCTAACCGCCCTGGCAGGCTGCGCTCAGCTCATGCTACTGGCCTGGGTCCCATGTCTGCTAAGGGCAAGTCAGGTGTGGAACTGCGAACGGAGTGAGTGAGCGTGGGGTCTGGCCACTGTGCACAGTCAGACATGCTGGCTGCTATGGCGGGGTAGGCAGCTCCAGGTGCTGACACAGGCACCAGCTCTCTGCGAGGCTGCGGCTGGACCAGGAACACTGCAAACAGCTTCCACAGCTGGCACTGAGGAACACGGTGATACCCAGAAGCTTGGATATGCGAGGAACCTCAGGGTCCCAAAGAGGGAGTCACAGCCCTGGTTTGGGGAGCTCCCAAGTCCAGGTGACCCAAAGGGCCACAGTTTCCTTCTCTTTGCCTGCAACATGGCGAGCGAGGGGCATGTCTCAGCCCTGTTGTGTTATAGCTCTTTTAGCCTCACCATTCTGTGGGTCCCAAATTCTGTGGGTCCCAGGTTCTTGTCCTGCGACCAGGAAGAATGAGGTATACAACAAGTGGAGGGTTAGCAAGACAAACAGGAGCTTTCTTAAGTGATAGAAGAGCTCAGAGGAAACCCACAGGGATCAGCTCCTTTCCACAGCCAGGGTGTTCTGATGAGTGTTCAGCTCCTGGCAGAGAGGGTGGCTCCTCTCTACCAAGGAAGTCATCTTGACAAATGTTCAGCTATCAGCAGAAAGGGCAGCCCCTCTTTGCAACTGGTTATCCCACCATCCCTGCAGCTGTCAGCAGAGAGGAGGCCCTAGAGTACTTTGCTCCTCTCTACAGCTGGTTATGCCAATGTCTACTCAGCACCGGCTGAGTCTAGGGCTTTTATGGGCTTCAGGGTAGAGGAAGTGTGTGCTGATTGGTCCATGGGCAGTCATTGGTAGGCCCAGAAAAGGTACCACAAGTTCCCACTCCAGTCAGTGGGACTGGCGGCCTGGCCTGAAGGTGGGGAGTCACCAGGGACCTGCCCGCTTCTGCTCAGGAAACTGTCTGCCTCCTGCTGCTGTTCATGGTGCCCAGGCTATAGGTATGAAGGGGCACCTGCAGGCCAGCACCTAGCTGTCCTCAGCCCCCCTCGGATTCCCTTCTATGCTTGTTGGTGCCAAAAATTCAAAGGGAGCTAAGGTGACAAAGGGCTGGTGTGTAAACACTGCCCCAAGCATCTGCATACTTGGCCAGGCTGCCATAGCATCCAGGATTAACCACAACCTTGCTCTGAGATTGGAGCAGGCACTGACAGGGAGAATCCAGACAACAGAAGCAGACACTTCAGAACCTGTTGGGAGAGCAGCGGTGGAGCCTCCTGGGTCCCCAAGAGTGCAGAGATGCCTGGGTCCACGGCTGCAGTTTGGGAGGCTGCAGCTGTACCCAGGAGGGCAAGGCTCCTGCCTGCTTCCTGGCCCCAACAGCACAGGGATGCCCAGGTCTGCAGCCGTGGCTTGGGTGGCTGCAGCAGCACCCGGGGAGCTCCTGACCCAACTCGGAAGGGGTGGGGCTCCCACTTGTCCCCAGCTCCCGCTGGCTCCATGGAGCCTGCAGCCCCGGCCACGCCTCCCTGCTGCAGCTGGCCTGATGGCAGCAGCCACTTCAGATGGCCTGCTGCTGCCATTAATAATCAGCACTGAGGCCAGGCAGGGTGGCTGACACCTGTAATCCCAGCACTTTGGGAGGCTGAGGTGGGTGGATCACTTGAGGTCAGGAGTTTGAGACCAGCCTGACTAACATGGTGAAACCCCGTCTCTACTAAAAATACAAAAATTAGCCGGGCACGGTGGCGTGTGCCTGTAATCCCAGCTACTCAGGAGGCTGAGGTAAGAGAATCACTTGAACCCAGGAGGCAGAGGTTGCAGTGAGCCAAGATCACGCCACTGCACTCCAGCCTGGGCGACAGAGCGAAACTCCATCTAAAAAATAATAATCAGCTCTGAACTGCAGCAGAGAAGTTTGAACTGCACACTAAGGAGAGGGTAAGTAAAAACTAACACTGTGAAGTGATGAGAGCTCAAAGTGATGTTAAGCTCCACTATTATAAAAGAGCAAGTATAGCACAATGGGATGAGTTACTGCGTGACACAAGATAGAAGTCCTCATGAAGGACTTCATCAACCTGATGAACATTAAAATGAATTTCACCATCACTGGAGATTAATTTGCTCATTTGTATTACCATCACAGTATATTTGAAATATTTTCACTAAAAATTCAAAGCAGATGTTAGCTAAAATAACTTTTCTCAGATGTCTAATCTATATTTCACATTATTATTTGGACACTCTTATATTCAAGAAACACCATCCAGGTTCCATCCAGTTTCCAGAAAAGAAACGTTTATTATAAATTCAATAATATATAAAAGTAACCTGTGATCACATTTAAAATGTGTTCTAAGATTTTTGATTTAACTAATGTAAAATAAGATAAAATTATATAAAATTTGAAAAAGAAGAAACAAGATTATCAGTATTTACAGATTATAAAACTGTATAATAAGACATGGAGTAACACATTTTAAAACTAAACAGGTGATAGAATTCAAAATGCAAGAAGCCAGTAAAAAGCAAAATAGATACCATAGAAAAAGAAATCAGTAATGTCAGTACAAGCTTAGAAATCTTCCCAAAATGCTAAGGAAAAATAGAGAGGAAGAATAAAAGATAAGATGGAGAGATGGAAGACAAACAATATAGATATAACAAACATAAATGGAAAAGAAGGAGTGTTTAAATATAGAAAACTTTCCTGAGCTCAAGAAATATATAAATATATAGAGTTATGGGGGACAATTGTTGTATGATCTGCATGGTGTGTTTTCTCCCTTCTGCTAATAGTTCTGGACATTTCTTTTAGAAAACTACCCTTCCACATGGTCCTGGTGGGGTTTACAATTAGAATGCCTGCATTTAGTTACCTTCTAGTTAGAAAAGTCTGAAAAGAAACATGGTTAATTCCTGTATATAGACCTATATTTTAAAAATCACTAAGAATATTATTTGGCTTCTTGGTTTAAAACCCAACAGGCCAGAATCATGTACAACATCTGCTATGGAATAAGGTCAATTACTTGTTACAACCATGGACAAAGTCACAAGCATAAAGCAGATAATAGAAGCTTCAGGCAAAGGGTTGTATAAAGTGACAGCATAGGTCTTGATTGATTGATATACTTCGCAGCAAGAAAAAAGATGATGGGAATGTTGGAAAGCCCATTTATGGGTCATACGGATCAGATAGAGTCCCAATATAGACTGCAGGGCTGCTTAACACATCTAGGAAAGCTGTATACTCCAGTATTAACCTTTGTGTATGAGAGTAACCTAGATTGCTCTGCCTGGATAAAGATAACCTTCCCCCCTAGCAATATAGAAAGGGCAAGTGTTTGCTTTCAGGTAAGCAGCCACAGAAATAGCAGGCTCTCCCTGGAGGAAAAGATACCACTGAAAGAACAGATTCTTCTTGAAGTACATCTGTGTCTATGTTAAAGCAAAAATTCACTGAGAGAAAAAATTACAGTTAACCAACACAAGATCTAGGTTAGAAACTCCCAGTCAACCTCCTAGATCCCTCTGTATTCACTACTCACATACAATTAATTGCTAAGTCTTGATGTTTCTACTTTTTAAATATTTATCCAGTCTGCCCCCTTATCATATCCTGATTGCTACTACTTTAGTTCATACCACCATCAGTCTCACCAAGATTATTATAATTAGTTTCTCTCAACTATTCTGTCTCCATTTCCCCTCCTTCCGTCTCTACTTCCCACTCCATTTCCTGAACACCACCATCATTACTCAGAATAATTTCACATCCATAAACCAATTATGTTTTATTTCACAGTGTGCACCAAGCATATTTTTATTTCCAATAGAAGTGAATTCAGAAGACAATAAACATTCACTTAATGTCTTCTAGCTTTTTTACTATAAGATGCTGAATTTTTAGAATTGGACATTAGTTATTTCATCTAGAATAGTTCCTTCCTGGCTTTTTAGAAACCTAAGGTCACTAAGACTGTATCTCTGCTTTGAAATACTGTGAATTTTTGCTTATTGGATTCATATATTATGAAACAAGACTCAGATTTCATTTAAAACTTCCTTCTTCCAGTTATAGAACATTTATACTGCACAAATTACTTCTCAAGGTTCTTCCAGTTATAGAACTTGAGAAGTAATTTGTGCAGTACAAATGTTTAACACACACAATATCACAAACATACACTGAAATTATAAAATACATAACACAGGTCAGCTAACAAGGAACAGACATTTTGCGTCAACACAATGATTGGTAACTAATGCCTATACATAAGGTACAGATGAAATGATATGGTATTCTTTGTCAAGTGCTCTTGAAGATCTTGGGTAGTACTCACAAATTCTTAAAGATATATTAGAATTTGAAAATCATATGTTTATTATTGCTCATATATACACTTTAAAATAAACAAGAAAAATACTGCTATCATAAAATGTTTCATTTATAAACAGTTTTTAAAATAGAGGATAAAACACCAATTCATTTGCCTGGCATACAAAGCCCTCCACAATCTAGCCATTGCCCAGCTTTCTAGTCTCTTCTCTCAACATCCTTCCACACATGCTCTGTTCTCTGGTGGTAAATACTTATTGTGTTGTTTTCCATCTCAGTGCCTTTGCATATGATATTCTTTTACTGTCAATACTCTTTAATTCCCCTTCCCCTTCCACCACCATCTAACCGAATAACTTCTCCTCTATTGGACAGACAGTAACTAACCTGCAGAGCCAGACAATTCCCAGGCCATTATCATTTCTCCCACACACTACACGCACACACAGACGAACACATGAGGCTGGAACTAGATTCGAACCTAACAGATGTGGCCTATTAAATCTATCAAGGTTTTCATTAATTACGTTAGCTTTTCACCAAAACTACCGAAACTAACAGCTGTTAGAAAGCCTAGACGGATCACACTGAGGTTTGCACCTGACCAACTGTAAGCAGCTGTGAAAGACCTTGTTCATCAACAGGCAGGGATTCCCAGATCATCCCAGGATGTAGGCTTATCACTGCAGAAGAGACTTTACATTTCGCATGAGTATGTAGCTCATGTAACTATTTATAAATATTACATTTCTTTTTTTCTTTTTTTTTTTTCCAAGATGGAGTCTCGCTCTGTCGCCCAGGTTGGAGTGCATTGGCGCGATCTCGGCTCACTGCAAGCTCCGCCTCCCGGGTTCACGTCATTCTCCTGCCTCAGCCTCCCGAGCAGTTGGGACTATAGGCGCCCGCCACCACGCCCGGCTAATTTTTTGGCTAATTTTTTGTATTTTTTAGTAGAGACGGGGTTTCACCGTGTTAGCCAGGATGGTCTCGATCTCCTGACTTCGTGATCCTCCCACTTCGGCCATAAATAATACATTTCAAAGACAAAAATTTAAATGGATGAGCAAAGGACTGAAAAACAGCCAATATGATCTGACAGAGAAGAATAAAGAGAGGGAACATAAAAAATAGATATAGAAATTCAGACAGATACAGGAGTAGACAAACTGAACAAATTGGGAGCCTAGATTATATAGTAATCAGGAAAATATAAATCAAAACCACAACGTGATACCACTTTATACCAATTCAATCAGAAAAAAATTAAGAAGTCTGACAAGTCCAAATGTTGAAAAGAATAGGAAGCAACAGGATTATGTATTAGTGGTATGAGTACCAACTGGTACAATCCCTCTAGAAAGCAATTTGGCATTATCTTCTAAATTTAAACATTTAAATAGCCTATGACTCATCAGTTTCACTCCTATATACTCTAGAGTACATATGGAACATGTAGAAGAGGAGACATGTACAAGAAAGTTCGTAGAAGTACTGCTCATAATGGCAAAAAAACAAGATAAAACAAACGACAACAACAAAAACAGGAAACAACCCAAATGTCTATCAATAAGACACTGAAGCCAAAAGGTTTTGTATAGTCTTACCATGGAACATACAACTATAAATAAAACTATAACTACTTGAAATAGTTAAATCTCAGTAATATAATGCTGTATTCAAAAAGCAAACACTAGATGAAAACATATAGTATACCTTTTTTAAGTTAAGAGACAATACTACTAAAGAATATATTATTTAGACACACCTATATGTGACAAAACCAACTGAAAAACCCACAAAGGAATGAAAAACATGAAATCTAGAATAGTGGTTACCTGTGATGCAGAAGTAAGGAGATGGAATAAAAAAAGAAATACCTAAGTAGACGAAAGTCAGTAATATTCTAGGTCTTGGATTGAGGTTGCAAAATGTGTACTTTAAAAATAAGTTAATAAAAAACAAAATTGTCATAACTATAAGAATTCCAAATGTTTTATAAGCTGTATCTGTCATTTACTGCTGAGGAGTTACCAAATCTTCTATAAATAACCTTGATGCCTTAGAAATTTCAGTGAATCAATAAACAAACTCTTGAAAAATTCAATGCAAGTATGATTCTTAAAACTTTTATACCATTTTCCTGAACTTTTTTTCAAAAAAGAGAAATGAAAGGGCTTTACAATACCTGATTTCCATGAAGATCCAAGACATCTAAGCTTTTTAGATTCTCCAGATTTGAGATTTTCTTGATTCTGAAAACCAGAATAAGTAGAATAGAAATATGGATGTATCACATCTATCTGTAAATCAAAGTATGCTAAGGCGTAAAGGTGTAACTCATTTTAATTTACTCTATCTACATATATAGTTATATATGTTTAACAATAATATATTTCCCTCTGATTTATTATAATTTTTAAAAATGCAATACCACTCAAGTGAAAGAGAGTTTAAATGTCATCATTAGAAAAGAACAATCCTGGCCGGGCGCGGTGGCTCAAGCCTGTAATCCCAGCACTTTGGGAGGCCGAGGCGGGTGGATCACGAGGTCAGGAGATCGAGACCATCCCTGGCTAACATGGTGAAACCCCGTCTCTACTAAAAATACAAAAAACTAGCCGGGCGTGGTGGCGGGCGCCTGTAGTCCCAGCTACTCGGAGGCTGAGGCAGGAGAATGGCGTGAACCCAGGTGGCGGAGCTTGCAGTGAGCCGAGATCGCGCCACTGCACCCCAGCCTGGGCGACACAGCGAGACTCCGTCTCAAAAAAAAAAAAAAAGAAAAAGAAAAGAAAAGAAAAGAACAATCCTATGTCTAAGAACCTTAAGTCAATGCACTTATTCAAGGGAGTTCTTCACATTAGAATATAATCTAAACTCCTTACTTCTGCCTACAAGGCACTAACCTGGCTGCTGACTCTTCCGCCAGCCTTATCTCCTACCACAGGCTCACTCACTCACTCTGCTCCAGCGACAGAGGCATTCTTGCTGTACCTCTAACCTGACAAGTACATTTCTACCTTAGGGTATTTATTCTTGCTGTTCCTACTCCCCTAATGTTCTTCCCTCAAAACTTCACTTTATTCAGGTCTCAGATCAAACAACTCTTCAAAGATGCTTCCAGATGACCCTATTTAAAATAGTTTTCCCTTCCTGTCCCCATTACACTGTTTCCTTTCTCTGCTTTGACTTCACAGAATTGATCATAGCCTAAAAATATATTATTTTGTGTTTACATTTTTAGAAAATCTCTTGCCAAATCAAAATGTGAGCTTTAAGAGGACATTCTGACATGTTCTCTACTCTATCCCCAGCACTTATAACAGTGCCTAGTGCCAAGTAGGTACCCAAAAAATATTTGTTTAGTGAATGAACGAACATACTAACTAAATGAATAAGTTGTATGCACAAGGGTATTCATAACAGGATTCTTTATGACAGAGACAAATTGCATACCACCTAAGTGCTTTCTACTGGGACCTGCTCAGTTTGTAAAATGCTTATATTTATTTGAAATTTTTGATATGTCAGATGAGAACAATGGTAAAAAAAGAACAAAAAATGAAGTTCATACAACCCATCTTTATCACCATATATTTATCACCATCGATTTTTGTTGTCCTTGTTTACTGCCTCAAAGAACCATTTCCACCTCTCTAAGTGTTTTCAGAACTTGGATCATCCACTGAATAATATATATGTTATCTATACATAGTGTGTATATATGTGAGATATATATAGTGTGTATGTATATACATACATACTGATCATTACCATGTAAACATCATGCAGACTTAAACTTAATTAATTTCTGTCTGCACTTGATCTCAGTTATCTTATATCATTGCCAGATCAAGAATTATATTACAAGCCAATTCAATCCAATTCAATTTATAAAAATATTTCTCATATGCTCACCATGTATCATCGTTGTGTAGCTGTAGATCTTCCTCACTCCCTTATCACACACACACACCACACTGCCTTATGACCACCACCTCCTCATCAGTCTCCTCTCACATCATCACCCTGACAGAATCTGTACCCTACCACCTGAACACTCCTACCTCACTTCGTCCAAACCATCAGCATTCTTCCAGACTCACTGGACTCTTTCACTAGCCTTCACCTAGTGCCAGGCAATTAATACTATCCTGTCTAGAATTTAAATCTCTCAAATAGCTAAATTAATAGCCCAACCAGATAGGAAAACAGGTGCGACTTTTTTTTTTTTTTCTTTTTTTTTCTTTTTTTGAGATGGAGTCTCGCTCTGTCACCAGGCTGGAGTGCAGTGGCACAATCTCGGCTCACTGCAACCTCCACCTCCCAGGTTAAAGTGATTCTCCTGCCTCAGCCTCCCGAATAGCTACGACCACACGTGCGTGCCACTATGCCCAGCTAATTGTTGTATTTTTAGTAGAGACAGGGTTTCACCATGTTGGCCAGGGTGGTCTTGATCTCTTGACCTGGTGGTCCACCCACCTCGCCCTCCCAAAGTGCTGGGATTCCAGGCATAAGCCACCACGCCCGGCCCAGGTACAACTTTCAACACAACTTTTCCTCTCCCTGCTTTGCTCCTGAAATACCTAAAACAGTTGCAGAAAATTATAGTACCCTAATCATATGGCTTAGGACAGAGCCAGGCGTTCTAATAGTAACCTGACCTCATAGCTATTAGAGAAGCCTTTTATTCCATTCCTTTATACTTCGAAGTTCACATTCCCTAAAACAGTGGTTCTCAAATTTCTGGATTTATCAGAATCACCTAGAGTGCCTGTAAAAACACTGTTTATTAGTTTCTCTTACTCTCCTTTGAACCAGCTTTGTCATCCTGCTGGTTCCCACATTATTGAATTAATTAAAATGCTGGCCTGTGATTACTATTTGTCTGAGAATTATATTTTTAACACTCTGAAAATTATACATCAGGGATAATAGAGATTATATCAGCCCAAAGTTCTCTGATTTGAAGAACCAATGTAGTCTGTTTCTGTCTTTATCAGAAATCCTGAGCACCTTTAATGCCCTTCAATCAGAGAAACCATCATGTGCAGTATGTATTCCCTCAGAATTCCACCAGGGCCTCACATATTCACTCCCTATCTGTTGTGACTGCAACTTCCTTTGCAAAATTGAGAAATCTAACATAACTGACTCCATCTTGCTTCTAGTCATACAAGCTGTCTTTGCTCATTCCTGCACATAGGCCAAGCTAACTATGGGAAAAAATTTAGTTTACAGTTTAACTTTAAACCAAGGATCATAATAGTCCCTTCCTGAAACTAACCTCATCTTCGTTCAGGAACCAAAAACATCTTCATAAAACTAATGAAAGACCACAAGGTTAGAATTATGTTAGGGGCCTGAATTCTGCTAAGACTGAGGCATAATTAAATGATAACCAGTCATTGTATTCTAACCTGCCTTTTTGTAATTGCTTACTGCTCAGGAATCACAGAGCCAATGGTAATAAGATTTGTGACTTCCCCAATTTCCCCTATAGATAACATTGTTAATGAAACCTAAGACTGGTATTTGAGGTATTTTTCAGATATATTTTCAGATTCTGGTAGACCAACTGATACCACCCAGACTGGTGATTTCCACTCAGGAACTGACTCAGTGCAAGAAGACAGATTCAACACCCCTGTGATTCCATCCCCAATCCAACCAATAAGCAGAACCCATATTCCCTAGCCTCCTGCCTGCCAGACAAGCCTTGACAATCCTAGTCTCCAAATTCTTACGGAGGCAGATTTGAGAAATATCTCCTCCTCCATCCTGCTCACTTGACTGCCTTGTGATTATTAAATTCTTACTCAGTTGCAACACCTGCTGTCTCAGTATATTGGCTTTTCTGTGCAGCAGGCAAGAAGAACCCACTGGGCTATAACATGACTTCTGGTATTAGTTTAGCTTTGACACATAGCTGCTTTATGAGTCTCACATCAGATGTGGATCACCCAGATGAACAGGAAGAAAAACAGACAAGTCGTTCAATCAGTTAAACCCAAGACCAACCAAACATCTTGCTTTCTTGTTCTCATGAGTTGCCTTTGCCATAAATTCTCTTCCCACCCCCAAACACCTGAAATGACCTAAAAACATACCCAATTCTAAAGAATTCAGAGGTAAACGAAGGCATCAGTTGACCTAGAAGGCCCCCACTGGTCAGATTATGTATTGATGTGAGGAATTTGCAGAATCCTAGCCAGTGCCCCCACATTTGACCATTTTTACATTAACACCAATGTGACCTGAAAGATTTATTTAAAAAAGAAGCTCTTCCATTGAATAGAAACTGAAACTAGAAAAAGATGAGGCCCACCCATCACCTGAGACCTCTAGGGATATATCACAGCCTGTCTCTGCAGGCCACATTATGTTACCGATGCCAGGATAAAGACCTCACTACAGGACCTATAAGAAGGCTCAGCTTTTCAGGTGTCAGAAACAAATCCTTAAGTGGGAAACTTCAAGGAGTCAAAAGGAAAGAAACAGAGAATCCCAGGTTCTAACAGAGAGTTTTGATCTCTAATCCTGGGTGATCAGAAGAAAATGCAGAGAAGTTCTCTGCATTCGCCTGTAATGACAAGGGTGGCAGAGGACCTGGAGAGGATAAGCAGGAGATACTGAAGGCAGAACAATTAGAGAACAAGAACTTTGACAGCAATGTGGGGTTGGGAGTTCTTTAGTATCAATGGAAACCTCACATACAGAACCTGAGCAAGGTTCTTTCTTAGCTTTAGAGTAGAAATCTTTGTTGGAGTTGCCTGAACCCAGAGGCACGTGATTGCCCTGGATTTCCATATATGGTTCCACTGCCTTGGACCAAAAGACAATGCAGAGTAATGTGGAAAGGAGAAAGCTTTCTGAAGTTGACCAGCAGGAAGCAACAAATCATCTAATACAAACGCATGAAGAGACAGGGTAGCAGATGTACTTCCCTCTTTACCAGCATCCTCAGCCAGGTTTGCCTAACATTCACATGATAGATTTCCATCTTCACAGCTCAAAGGCCTCTTGCTGTGACAAAGTCAGCTGGCTGGAGAGCACTTGGCATTTGTTTTAGGTATCAGACTTGCATTTTACTGACACTTCAAAAACATGCAATAGGGGAAAATATGGAAAGTTTTCTTCTGACTCATTTTCTTTTTGATTCAAGAACACTAATAGTTCTAGAACTGTTCAATAGCTACTCCTTTATGTGAAAAATAAAATAAGATTAAAACCAAACGAATAACAAATAAAAAAGATGGAAGAGTAGAAAGAGGAAGAAGAGACAGCATTAGATTGCTTTTACTTCACTAACATAATGATATAGTAGAAAGGCATTAAGTCTCTTACAGTTGAAAGAACAAAAAGACCTTAAATAAAGTCAGAAGCTCAGATAGACTGGTGGCTTCAAGGCACAAGTTATCAAAAACGACAACTTAAAGGGTTAATTCTAAGAAGCCAGAGAAGCGGAAAAGTACAAATAGAAAGATAGATCAGATGGAAAGATGACTTAAAATGGTAGGAACCAGGAACAGCGCTTAAATACTAGAGAAAGTGATTTTAAATATCACTAAAAATATTAATTCAAGGACTAGAAGAAGGGAATAATGACAATGGTATTAAAGAATAATTATAAGCGAGGCAAAGAAATCAGTAACTCTGAGGATCAGAAACTAGTAAAGAAATCTGGGCAAGAGAATAGGAAGCACCTAGGCAAGAGAATAGGGAGACTAGGAAATGCCTTAAATGTATGAAAAGTGAACTTCCCTTCTCACCTTACTCAGTGAACTGCTCTGGTGGCATACCCTTATTGTATAGACTTTGTATATATCTAACTTTGCAAAAGTCACTTTGCCTTTCCATTTCTCCATCTGTAAAAAGAGGAAGCTACTCTCTGAAGTCACTTCAAGCTCTAATACGCTATGATTCTATAATCTCCCTGCTATGATTTGAATATCTGACCCCACCGAACATCATGTTAAAATTTGACCCCCAATGGGTTGCCTAATAGCAACATAAACAGACTAAGATATGCTCCAAATTTGCTCAGACTACATAACGCTTAGCTTAACACTTGAACTAATTATGGGTAATAAACTACACTGATAGGAGCCTTCATAGAAACTATGGAGGACAAACAAGAGACTAGAACTCTGGGACATGATATTGGGAAAACTATCTTATATTATCATTGGGTAGTGAGAATAAAGACAGCCAAGGCTCAATACACAACACCCCAAACTATGGCACATTGGCATACTGAGTAATTTAAGCTGAAGGAAATTGAGAAAATCATATAAGGAGGAAGCTCAGGCTGGGTGTGGTGGCTCACGCCTGTAATACCAGCACTTTGGGAGGCCAAAGCTGGCAGATCACAAGGTCAAGAAATCGAGACCATTCTGGCCAACACAATGAAACCTTGTCTCTACTAAATATACAAAAATTAGCTGGGCGTGGTGGCACACGCCTATAGTCCCAGGTACTCGCTACTCAGGAGGCTGAGGCAGGAGAATCACTTGAACCCGGGAGGCAGAGGTTGCAGTGAGCCAAGATGGCGCCACTGTCCTCCAGCCTGGTGACAGTGCGAGACTCCATCTCAAAAAAAAAAAAAAAAGGAGGAAGCTCACTCTCTGACCTTCTCCCACCTTTCTTCCCTAAGGCCATAAAAGGAATTCTCTGATCTACCTACCCTACCTTAAATTTAAGATACCTTTCCTAAGCTCACTCTGTGAGCTTCTCTCACCTTTCTCCCCTGAGGCCATAAAAAGAATTCTCTGATCTATCTTCCAGATAGATAGAAGTATCTGATCTATCCCTTCCCTTTGTGGGTATAGGGCAGGAGTCCTCTGGAATGAGGGTCTTATGACCCTCAAGAAAGGAAGCAATGGAAGTAAAATACATAATATACCCCAAAAAAGGGAATGAAGACACAGAGACACCAAGAAGAATCTGAACAAATAGATTTTGCTAAGTTCCCCCAGTTTATTACCATTAGCTCATACCTCCTTTTGTCCAATCATACTGTCCATTTGCTATCAAACCTAAGCATAAAAATACACAGTTTTCCCTGTTTTGGAGGATATTCATTTATGAGGGCTCTTGTGTCATGTAAAAGTTGTATTAAATAAATTGTTAATGCTTTTCTCTTGTTAATCTTTGTTATAGAGTGTCAGCCATAAACCTTGAGATGGGTGAGGAAAAGATATTACTTTTTTTCCCTGCAAGGAGTAATCCAAGATCCATGCTAGGGTGGGAGGCAGGGAAAGATGGGGGAGGAGAACCTAGCCTGGTTATGACACTATATCTAAACTTCTTCATTTGATAATATAAAAATCATTTTTGGATTTTACTATAAAGCCCTTCTTTGTAGGCATTGCAAAAGCTATTCAGTAAAATAGAATGAAAAGTAATGAATGAATCTCAAAGAACTAAGTCAAGAACTGTATAGTTGCACTACATAATAGAGTTGTATAAAAGGAACTGGGGAAGTTCATATAGGATGTAATGTTAGATACAAACTGAAACTACCGTCTGAAAAAGAATCAATTCGTGATTTGATAATCACAAAGTATCGAGTGTCTACCCTTAGTCAAACACTGGGAAGAGTCACAAGTGAAATACATAAGCCTAAAGTGAATACACATGTTTAAAGTAAGTTCTAAGGAAACAAAATCAAGGCCAAAGTCTGCTATTTACTTCCCTATAAGATATGGCACTGAAAAGCAATGGAAGTAAAATACATAAAAAATGTTACTTGGTGTGACAAATTGTCAAACTGAATCTCATGAAACGAATTATGACTGGATCTTAGTCCACTCAAATAATTCAAATAATTTTAAAAAATTTTTAGCCTATTCATTTCTTAAGTATTATTCAATTCTAAGTTGTCATCTCCACATTAATCCTACACATAACATTAGGTTACAAACAAACACTGCTCTACAAAGAATACCTGTTTTTCCCCAACAGAAGGACACGAAGGCATCTCAGAGTAGAAAGCCCACTGATTTCTTCAATCTGGTTATCATATAAATCCAATGATATTAACTTCTGTAGATTAGAAATATTTTGTATCCGAGTTATAAAATTGTGTTGAAAGTTCAACAAACGAAGGTGGTCTTCCCCATTGATGATAGGACATACGGTCAGCTTTTGTCTAGAAAAAAATGTTAAAAAGTTAATTAGGTTATGATTCAGCCACCTACCTCCTCTTACAAATATTAGTAATAGTATCTTTGTGCTCTCATTCTGTGAGGAGAAAAAAATAAGTTGGACCACTTCCAACCCCCATGAACTAAGCGACCTATATTTAATTGCAAATCATTCACAAAAAAAAAACCAATAGACTTTGACAGAGTTTATTATTAAAATTATGTCTAAGCTCTCATTATATTAAAAAACTCAAATATAATTTTTTTCACATGAAATTGACTTAACATGAGAAAACATTCAACATAATTGTCTTTTGTGATAGAGGTTTAAATGACTGAATCTTGTCACATAACCAGACAAGTGCCCTTGGCATCAATCCACTGATGTAATGACTGCCCAGGCAACTAAGTCATCAGAGTTAAAAACATATAAAAGGGTCTCTCAGGGAATCATAGACTGTTGAGCTAGATGACATCTTCAGAAGAGCAAGAAATTCGGCCATCTACCGTTCGATTTGATTAAAAAAAAATTCATACTGAGATTTATTAATGGCAAAGTGGTCCTTAACATTTCCTCAGAAACTAAGATTTTACGTATACGTTTACATGCTCAACACTTTGAACTTTGCAGAACATTTAGAGTCCTACAGGGTAGGACGAAACCTTAAAAATATATGCTTTCAGCTGTATTTAAAACAGTAAGCCTCTATTATGCAAAATGTTGTAACGTATTACATGTGAAGTAAGTAAGTTCAGGGCCCTTTAAGAATTCTAGTAGTAAAATAATAGGGGCAGACAGGAGGTCCTGCGTGATTCTAGTCTGAGAGGTCAAAAGGAGTCTTCAAGGAAAATACAGCTCTATCGGAGTGTGAACAACTCTAATACGGAAGTTTATTAGAAATACTCTCTTTCTGTAGAAATCAAGTTAATGTGAGCTTTAAAGAAAATAAATCAGAGTGTTACTAGCATAACTGTAACTATGAAAGTGATCAGAATCTTCCTGATAAAGAGAAAAAATAATGATTCACAGAAAAAAAAAGTAACTGAATGTTAATGGCTAACAAAGATATGATGTTTAAAAATATAGATTCTGAAGAAACCTGTTAAAGATAAAGAAAAAGAAAAGGAAATTTTGGGCAATAGTTTAATTCTTTTAATGTATGGTTAATTTTATAATTCATTTCATGTATTCAATTATTTTATCACAGAATATTTAAAATTCACTTATATATTCAATTATTTTATCACAATACTTTATCCAATTATTTTATCACAATATTTTATCCAACTATTTTATCACAACTGTGATAAATCAATAAATTTAGTATATAAATTATAAATTAATAAATTATAAGTATTCTACCTTAAAATTTGTATCTTTGTGCATCAACTTAGCAAAAAATTGAAATCGTCTCACTTCTGCTTCAGTCTTTTTCTTTTTCTCTTAAACTTACTGATATTCCCCAACTTCTATTTCATCCAATTCTTGAATCAGTCATCACTAAGATAGGAAAATAAATAACCTACAACCTCCCTCTTACATAAGCTACCATAGATTGAAATAAAGTCACTTTCTCTGATACTAAACACAGTGGTTAAGTCCCAGTGCCAAGGCTTACTTGTATACCACTTAACCCCACAAACCTCTGTCACTCCAACAAAACAAGCAAGCAAACATACGTAATAACCAGAGAACCAGTGCCCTCAAGGGGAGTTTCTAGGCCTACAAAACTCTTGAGTTGCTACACCTCCTATCCCATTACTGATACATCTAATGGACTATGCCTTTGCTTCTGTGTTTCCTTCTGGGGGCCGATAAGCTGTCTTTCTGGTACTCCAGGGCTAACCTAACTCCCAAAAGAGCCAGAGCCTAGCTCTTCTAAGTAGTTCTTCTCAGGGTTGGATTCTGCTCTTGACCCCTCAGTCCCTAGCTAAGAAGCTGCAAAGCATGGCATATCTGCCTTTGGAAATCACTGGCACTACCCACTGGCTCTCAAAAGTGATCCCTGAGTTAGTTTCTTGCTGCTAGCCAAACTTTCTTGACTGCACATCCTGGTTCTTGTCAAACGGTGCCTAACTTTATATCTTTGTGATTCTGTCATTTCACAACCAATGAAGTGGAGTCAGTTCTCTTAATCCTGACTTTCTTGATAAGCAAGTCTCTGCCTGATCAAAGTTTGCTTCTCCACCCCAGAGGCCCATGCTGTTAAGGACCCATCTTCACAATTGCCTGAGTCACCCCAAGCTACAAAGGAAGTGCCTAACTTGTTATGTCATAGTCTTAAAAATACTGGCTCCTGTTAATATCAAGTAACATGAAACGGAAGGAAGCTGAGGTACTATTCTTGGCCAGTCTTTCAGAGATCAAAAGAAAAGTTATCAAAAAAAATCCCTCAAAACATTTTAAAATATAAAATATAATGAAAGTTATAAATATTAGACAGCATTTTCAAAAACCATCTATACCGCAAAGATGTCATGAGCGATATTGCCCTTCAGTGTTACTTTCCATACAAAAGAACATGTTGGAACCTCCAGCAGTTTTTCCCAACTATAAACACAGACAGTTCATTAAAATTTGTTGTCAGATGTGCACTGCTAAGCTAAAGGTATGCAGAGCAGAGATGTTTTCTCTGCTGGTTACACCACTGGGGTAGAGGTTGGGATCTTTCATCCACCATGCTACTGTGGATAGTTTCCTAGATGTAAAGATGGGGATCAAGTTCTAAATATATTCATTCATTAAAAAAATTTTATCAAGAGCATGTTTTGTACCAGGTTCTGTTCTAAATATCAAGAATACAGAACTGGACAAAAATTTCTATGCTTATGGAACCTGTATTCTAGCAGGAGACAGACAATAAACATAGTAAGTAAATAGTTATTATGTTATAGGGTAATAAATGCTAAGAAGAAAAATAATGAAAGCAGAGAAGGGGGCTGGAGACTTCAGTGTGTAAGGGGTTGCAATTTTGGAGAGGATGGCCAGAGAAAATCATCCCTGAAATGATGACATTTGAGCAAAGATCTGAAGGCAGTAAGGGAATGAACCTAAAGATATGAGGAGGAACAGCATTCCAGGCAGAGGGAATAGCAAGTACCAAATTCCTGAGGTATAATCACTCTTGGTGTATTCAAGGAACAGCTAGGAGGCAGGTATGATTGGAGCAGTGAGTGAAGGAGAGTGTAGGAAGAGATTAAGCCAGTGAAGTAACAGGAAACTAGACTGGATAGGGCCCAGGAAGCTCATGTGAGGATTATATTGTAGTTTTTTTCTATACTAAAATCCATTTTTCATCAATGTCATATTTTAGAATTGCTGTAGTACTCTTGCGGAGTATAGTCAAGCTCTTTTATTTATATAGATATAAAATTCCTCACCATACCTCAGGAAGGAGAAGCAAAAAGTTGGTTTAAAAAAATGATTATATCTAAATAGGAGAATTGAATAACTGGGGAACAGGAGGAAGGAGGGAGACTTGCATCTTTCAAATCTTGTACCATGTCTATGTATTACCTAGTCAAAAAAAAGAAAAGAAAATAAATTGTCCTCACCTTTCTAGGCTCAACCTGTCTGAGTAAAGAATTTTCTCTTCAGAAGAACGTTGAAGAATAGGAAATGATGACAATGATGAGCTCACCAAATTAATATGATCACCTATTAAAAATGATATACAAATTACTTAATTAAGAAAAGCCTTCAAAGTCTTGAAACTAAAGTCACCTTATATTTGGAGAATTTTGGCACCATAAATATCTTATCTAGCAAGTATAGTTTCCATAGCTCTCCACATTTGAAATTAATTACTAAGTTGAATCTGTTTCTTTCCTTCTGAAACCTAAACTATGTGTTCCATGTATGCCAAATAATTTTTCCCTTGCCTTACAGATTGGTTAAAAGTACAGAACTACTCCAGTGCTATCTTTATCCCTTTGGAATCCTAACTCCTTGTCTTAAATTCTAACTCTCTATAACTAAAATGATTGTCCCTCATTACCAGATATATTTGGGCCAGCGCTATGACAGCCCTGCCAGATTCTGGATTTTGAAGGTATTTTTATGGAAGAATCTTCAAATGCTGACAAGGAGCTCACGGTAGTTTTCATTTCCAGCCCATATAGTTCTGTCACATTTGTTGTGGATGAGATGCATAGGAAATACACAAAAAGTAGTTTTGGATAGCAGATGTAAACCTCGCATCATCTCTTTCTTTGTATGTTCAGCCACTATTAGTAGAGAATATTGCCAAGATACCAAAGTGGATGTCAGTAAATCTAGTATTCTCATAGTTAGGGTCCACGGAGTATATGACACCCCTCTAAGGTTTATAGGCTGTTTGTTAGATGGTGTGCTTGCCTTCAATCTAACAGACTGAAATTAATAAATACACATATGAAATTCATAAATAGAACAACATACATAAATGCAGAATAAAAAGAATACCTATTTGTAAATTTGCACATAGTGTGTCTGATTATTTTTTACTTAATGAAGGTGGTTACAGATGGGTTTGGGGGAAGGTGAATATTAAGATATTTACTAAAGAACTAGAAGAATGTAAATGGTCAAGAAGGAACGATGAGAAGTTCCAGAAATGAGGTAAGATTTGAGTAATGGGTCAAATGTGACAGTTTGAATGCCAGAGGAAATCTACCATATTTTCCTCTATGAAAAGAAAATCTTCTGAGCAGCAACTGATGTTGAAATGCTTAAAGGCAGCAGTAAGTATAATAGTAAAATAGAACCTGAGGTTACCACAGAATTCTGCTATTGAAACTAACAAAAAGATCAAAACCAAATCTAGAAAGCTAACCTACTTTTTGGGAGGTCACCAGACAATGTAATGACAATTTAAAATCAAGTTCTATATAAATCATATTAAAAAGCTGTAAGGCAATGGCATTTGCTAGCTTCCTCAGGTCTGCAAGGCATAAACTGAAGTATCTCAACCCTAGTTTCTTGAACAAAATATCAGTGCTCACATCCCACTTTTCTGAATATTATGAAATATCAAGATAATGATGATGTTCTAGAGCATAAGCATTCAGAATTGACATCATATTCACCAACAAACTGATTTTCTGGCATGACCATATGCTAGCAGGATACCTAAAAGCAACCACAAGTCAGTAAACTGATTTGGATATCAAGTCAAGATGGTTAAAAAAACAAAAACAAAACAAACAAAAAACAGTCTAAAGACTGACTGCAGTCTAAGAATTAACTAATTAAAGATTAATTGGTCAACTAAAGATAAAAGATTGAAAAACTCCAAGCAGCAGACAACCTCAATTTCTCTTGTTAGCATTAGTCAGGTTTTGTGAATTATTTTGCTAAGGCTTCAAGGCAATCCTCAATTTTTAAGAGGCAAATTTAAACTTTACAAAACTTGAGATACAGATGCAATAATCAAAGATTAAATTTAATTTACACTCAGTGAATAAAGGAATTTTATCCTTAAACTTTCTAGCTCTTTTTATACACAGAAGTCATAATCAATATCAGCATAATGAACTTACTATCAATGTGATATACTGCTTACAATAAACAGAAAGCCATAAGAATGATTAGGGTAAAAGGCCTTAAATCTACCACACAACAAGATCTTCTAAATAACTGAGAACCAGAGAGATCCACAGTTAAAATATCCACATATATATGTGGGTATATAAACACCCACATAAAAACTACATTACTATGTGGCAAAATTTTCATTGTAACAGTTTGTTACTGTTTATTTCATTTTTCTTCCTTTTTGAGACAGGGTCTTGCTCTGTCACCCAGGCTGGAATGCAGCGTGGCATGATTACTGCTCCCTGCAGCCTCAAACTCCCGGGCTCAAGTGATCCTCCTACCTCAGCCTCTCGAATAGCTGGGACTACAGGCATGTGCCACCACACCCAGCTAATTTATGTATTTTTTTACAGATGGGGTTTCATCTTATTGCCCATGTTCAAGATGGGGTCTTGAACTCCTGGGCTCAAGCAATCCACCCATCTTGGCCTCCCAAAGTGCTGGGATTACAGGTGTGAGCCATAGCAACCGGCCTGTTATTATTTATTTCTTATATTACTATTTAACTTACCAGATATGTAGCCCTTGTCTTCCCAATTAAATTTACAAGCTCCTTGGGTGATGAACCTCATTTTACATTCTTTATATTCTTGGTAAAATCTAAATTTAGTAGGCAATCAATAGACAAATTAATTGTTTTTCCAGTTTACTAAGACTTAATTGAAAATCTATTTTGTGTGTGTTATTTCTGTTTAAAAAAAATCTCAATATAAATAGCATCTCAAAGTGTTAAGAAGTATAATGGTCTAAATTTGGTAAGAATGTTCATTGCACTGCATGCTAGATACACAGATGGCTAGATGGCTGGTTGGATAGATGAATATATAGATGAGGAGATGGATGCATGGATGGATAAATGAACAGATGGGTGGATGGACAGACAGGTGGATGGATGGATGGCATAGTACATATTGCCATATATGTGCGTCCATTCGGCCCTGTCTTTGAGATTGTTTTGGTAACGAAAATCTTAACTCCAGATTTTCCAGTGATTTATCATTATCTTAAGAGCAAAGTATTGCCTCTTCCCTTCTACACACATATTTTAAAATTCCTAATTAAGGGATTTAATCAATAAGGTCAGGTTAACTGAAATTTTATTATATAGTAGTTTCTGCAATATATGGCACTTATAGAATCTCAAAGACACAGGGGTTAACTCTTAGTATTACAAGAAGCCTAAAAGAAATCACATATCAAGTTTTAAACTCACTAACTTAAATAAAATATCAAGTGTCTTTACTTTTGACTGAGAGTACCACTGGTTAATTTGTGTGGACAGGCTATCATATGTTTGATTAATTTTGAAAAATAAGAAATGGCTGAAATTATCATGTTTGGGTATCAAGATAGTTTATTAGACAGACATCCCTAAGCTTTTCCTGATGAAGTGCTACTTATAATTTTTACAAAATTTTATGCCCTTGGAAGTAAAATTTGAGTACAAAAGTCAAGAAAATAATTAAGTTGTCTGGCCTTCTTTGCACGAAACTGCCTGGAACTATTGAGGGAGCACATTGAAAGCAACCAGGTACACATTTAAGACATTTTAAATGAGTATCCTGTCACAGAACTTAATTCTGAATAAATTTTTTATGTGAAAAACCAATTAGGTTTTTTTCCCTAAAGAGTTAATTCATACTAAATGGGTCATTACTTATGTATAAAACTTTATTCATCTCTCAAGTTCACAAAATTCAATACATCCATACTATTTCCTCATTAGCAAATATCTAGTAACACTTTACCACTTAAATAAATTTGCCTGGCCAGCCGTCCTCAAATCTGTTTACTAACTCCCTACTTTAACTCAAGAAAAGCTTAGTGAAAGTACTTAATTTTGATTCGTGATTTCGGGAAAACTTTCAAGATATTGTTACTAAAAATGTTAAGGAAATTCACAATGCAAGCATAAAAACTCTTGTTGAGGCTTCATATCTATAATTCTATACCTAAAAGAGTGACTGGCATATAATACTTGCTTTATAAATATCTACTGAACTGAATCAAAGAAGGCAAAGACAGATGCTTCCTGAACTGTGGAATTGCAGTTAGGCTGATGTCATGTCCAGCAATTGGTCACGACAAGAGTGTAGAATGTCGGAAAGAGAAAAGATATGTCAGATTAGATGGGTCCAAGAAGTCGGCCCAGAAATAAAAAGAGAGAGAAAATTACCCAATATTTAAAATCACCATATGTTCTCACAGTAATAACATGAACAACCTGGAAAGGTCTATATTGATCAGCCCTCTCATATAAACTCCTAAGAGGTAAAGGCAGTTTTGTATATGTGGATTCAGAAGTGTTTAACATGAGCACATTACACAAAGCTAATGGCTGTCAGCAACAAACCAAGATTCAAATGTGAAGGAAATTTTTCCTTGATTTGAAAAATATAACCAGATCATATGAGGCACTATTTGTCAAAGGATGACCCACAAACCACATACCTCAGAATCACTTGTGACATTATTAAAATGCACATTTCCAAATCCCACTCAAGACCTACAAAATCAGAATGGGGAAGATGGAGGGGGAGCACTATGAATGTGCATTTGTAACAAGATCCCAAGTGATAGACACTAAAGTTTAAGGCCTTTAATATAAAATCTATAATTATATGTGATAGTAACAGGGAAAGATTGTTTCTTCTCTACTGCTGACTTTCCATTCTTTCCTTATTTCCTTAATATTTGTGTTCCCATACGCTTACTCTCTCTAATTAGCAACTTCCAAATACTGTTCTAATACAGTATCTGAAACATTCTTTTTCCATTCTCTAGTGTATAGCCCACCCTTAAAGGAAAATAATAACAGCTTTTTCCTATATTGGAAATAATCTACTATGCTATATATATACAACCAATGATTTTTAAAAAAATACCAAACCAATTTGGTCCCAGTGAACCATTTCATTTTAAATTCAAGTTTATTTGGATCTAGTAATTCAACATTATTAAACAGTTAATATTATTTAAAGATGATGAACCACATCTGATCTCTACTCACTGACAATACCTTGCCTACTTGAGTAGTTTCTTTCAAGGTCATGTTGTAAAAGTCTACCGGGGAATGACGATGTGTCTTTATTTAGCTTGAATTCAACCTGAAAAACATTATTAAAGAAAAAAATATTTGGAGGCAAATTTAACACTAAGTAATGAAGATAATAAAAAAAAAACATATAATAACTGATACACATGGTACAGTGTGGATGAACCTTGAAAACATCATGCTAAGTCAAAGAAAACTGACACAAAATACCACATAGGCAAATCCATAGAGATGCAAAGCATATTTGTGGCTTCTAGGCATTTAAGGGAAGCAGGGAATGAAAAGTAACTGTTTAATGGCTATAGGGATTCCACTTGGAATGATGAAAAAATTCTGGAACTAGATAGAGGTGATGACTGTACCTCTATCATTGTATTTTACCATGCACTAAATCAGGGTCAATTTTATGAGGTCAGATAAAAGATACTCCAAGCTGAGACACTTCCAATCCCTCCATGCTCTCACCACAAATAAAATGATTAAAAGAACCATTTGCTATAAAAAAAAAAGCACACAATATAAATAAAATGCTGTTGAAAAACATCACTGTTTTGATCATTATAATCCCTTTAAATGTCCTATTATAACATAATACAATTGTATATTTAAGTCTTCTAAGAAGGGTTTTCACTTGATCTAAAACTGATCTAAAATAATTATCTGGTAGGAGGAATGAGAAAAACAAAACCAAAACAACTTCTTTTGATTAGCCACAAAAAAACTCAAATATGTACCCTGAATAAATTAAGATGCTTCTAATGTATCCACACTATAAACATTATGTTGCCATTTGCATTATATCCTTAGGAATTATATGACCTGAAGGTATTTTCTCTGAATAGATGTCCACACAAGAGAAAGTGAATGGTTTGGAAAAAATGTTTAGATGAGGCACACAGTCCCTAGAAACATTATAATGGTGGGAAAGGATTTGTCCAGAGAAATCAATTAGGAAAGCTCTGGAGGGTACCCATTATCTCTATTACAATAAAGAATATTTTTAAATTAATCTAACTGATGCTTGAGATGATCAAATGATCTATTTTCCAAGTGTTCACTATTTTCATATTCATATATAATGTCATCAACAGCTGCCTCCTTGACTAACAATGTCCTTCCATTTACCTTCCTCATGCCTTTTTTACCCTTCTTCATGCTGTTATGTGTGAACTCTGCCCTTCACTTTAGAGTTCTTCCAGTGATGCCTATTTAATAACTTTTTAGGAAACACCTGAATTGTGATGGTTAGAGGTTTCCAACATGGTCAAAGGAGGAAAAATCATGTTGTGTCTTGAGACATAGTGTGTAGAAAGTAGGTGAGTATAAATGCTGAGGTGAGACAGAAGGAAAAGAGAAACATGTTTATCTCAAAATCTCAAAAATTAAATCAAAAGCCAGAAATTCTAGAAATGCTAGAGACATTATGGGCAAATAGTCTGAGGGAAAAAATCTCATATTCATATTGTAACTTCTAAATAACATTAAGTCTAACATGTGTCCACTGCTAACCTATTTTTTTCTTCCCTGATTTTAAATGGGATGTGTGGATATGCCCTCCCAATTACCATTTTATCTAAGGTGTCATCAGTAGTAAGACATACCATTATTTTACCCTCTACTAAGAAAGAAAAAAAACCTCCCCAATTAAACTATGACATGCCATCAATTTTAAGAAGGCTCCTGATTTCAGAAATATGTAAGTATCACTGGGTGCGGTGGCTGTCGCCTGTAATCCCAGCACTTTGCCAGGCCAAGGCAGGTGGATCGCTTCAGCTCAGGAGCTCGAGAACAGCCTGGGCAACATGGCGAAACCTGTCTCTGCAAAAAAATACAAAAATATTAGCCAGGCTTGGTGGCATGTACCTGTGGTCCCAGCTACTCAGGAGGCTGAGGTAGGAGGATCACTTGAGCCTGGGAGGCAGAGGTTGCAGTGAGCCAAAATTGTGCCCCAGCGCCCCAGCCTGGGTGACAGAGCTAGACCCTGTCTCAAGAAAAAAAAAAAAAAAAGTGTAAATGTCAAAACACACACACACACACACACACACACACACACAAAAACCTTACCTTTTGTAATCAATAAAATAACACTAAGTTTTTTAAAGAGGGCTATTTTGGCTTTATGTAGGCAGAAAGTAAGAACTAGCTTTAAACTGGAAATCAAAGTAAATCTACTTAAATTTTTCAGTTTAGAATCTACTCTTAAATCATGCTGCTATTTGTGTAGAAAATAAAACAATATTCTATTTAAAGGCCAACCTTCTTAAATCTTACTTTGTTTTTTTCAGGAAGCGATGATGTTTGAATAACCAGATGAAGCCCACAGTTCACCTGAAATGTAAAAATTAAACCATAAAATTTGCTCTTCATACACAAACACATATTTCCAAAAAAAAAAAAAGGTACACATAAAAATATAACAAAAAATTAGAACAGAATGCTCGATTTCTGTTTCTGGTAAATGATCTTGTTCTGAGGATTTGCTGAAAACAATAAAATCACATCTAAGAATTAAAAGGTTTCACTGATTTATTTTCCAAAATGTCGGCAGCAATTTAACCCTCTAGTTAGTACTCAGGCTTTCAACATTTGCCATTCAGGTCTAAATAAATATCTCAATGGGACAGGTGAAAGAAGTGGGACTCCTTAATGATAAATTCTCTTCACAGTCAAAAGGAAAAGAAAAGAAAAAGGAATTGACTGGCCAAAGGAATTTAAATAAACCCGAGCCTTTCACAGCAGACCAGCTCCACCTTCTGGGGAGCCCAGATCCTGGACAAGACTTTGAGTACCTATCATACAATATTAAATTGTGCCTTGGTCCAGCCCACGAACCTCAAACGCCGGTCAGACAATAGCTTGAGCAGACCCAGGGGCCCCGGTCCCAATAATACAGCCCATCTCCTAGGACAAAGACGCCAGTCAGAAAGAGTACCAATGGGAAGAAAGAGAAAGTAGAAGGCCCAGCTTACGTTGTTCGCAGCCCGGCCAGAAACAGAGCGATATTTCCCGGGAATCATGATAGGAGACAGTCCAGGATCTCTGTTAGATCTGCCTTCGAAGTGACGCTACAGCAGAGATTCAAAGAGACCCGAAAGAGGTCATCTCCCAGGCAACCGGCTCAGGGTTACCATGGAAACGGCCATTTCCGGTCTGGACCTCTCCCGAATCCATAGGGCAACGCAGTTGATGTAGCTTCTGGTTGTATTCGTGAGAGCCCAGGGCGTCACCACTTCCTCGTTCTATTTTTCCGGCCTCATAAAAACAAAGCGGGAGTATTGGGAGGAGGATAAGCTTGGGAAGAGCCTGGCCACATTGGTGGCTATGACAACCACCACTTCCGGTCCGTTCCTCTTTACGGCCTACCTCAGCGCTGCCCGCGCGAAATTTGTATCCCTCTGCTTGTGTCCACCTGCTCCTGGGGAGCAGTGCAGGGTGGAGGAGGAGGAAGACATCGAAGAGCCCTCCCATTGGGGGCCCCAGATCGCCACTTCCGGTGGCCAGAGGTAGGGAAGGAAACGATCCCGACCCAGAGGGGACAGGTGAGGAGGAGAGGACGTGCCTCGCCGAGGCAGCTGCGAGGAGCGTGCCCAAGGGCGAAGGTCCAGGGAGCCCGGCTCCCGCGCACCGAAGACGGCCGCCATGCCGGCCCGTTGTGTGGCCGCCCACTGCGGCAACACCACCAAGTCTGGGAAGTCGCTGTTCCGCTTCCCCAAAGACCGGGCCGTGCGGCTGCTCTGGGACCGCTTCGTGCGGGGCTGCCGCGCCGACTGGTACGGAGGCAATGACCGCTCGGTCATCTGCTCTGACCACTTTGCCCCAGCCTGTTTTGACGTCTCTTCGGTTATCCAGAAGAACCTGCGCTTCTCCCAGCGCCTGAGGCTAGTGGCAGGCGCCGTGCCCACCCTGCACCGAGTGCCCGCCCCGGCATCTAAGGGGGAAGAGGAGAGAGACCAAGCAGGCCGCCCGGACACGGGAGGAGAGCTCCAGGCAGCCAGGCATTCTGAGACTGTCCCAGATCCAGTCTCCTGTACACATCCACGAGCTGGGAAGCAGGCTGCGGCTTCACAGGTAAAGAGAGACCACCGAGGGTTTTGGAAGGACCCCTGGACTCTGACTGGGCTCCTCCACTTAGTGTCACCTTGGGAAAAGCACCTCACCTCCAAAGTTCCTGTTTTCTAATCTGCAAATTTAGGAGTGTACTTTAGAGGTGATCTCCAAGGTCCCATTTAGCACTAACACTTTGGAATTAAGTAACCCAGTTAATTCCTTCTAACTGCTCCTCCCCAAAAAACACACACACACACAGCCTTGTCCTGCAGAGTACTGAGTTGCTTTCACTCCCCGTTCCAGGGTTTTTAAATAGAAAGCGTTTAATTTGAGCAAATCTCCAGGATTGGGGTGCTTGAAACTGTGTTTGCATAACATTACATAAGCTTGAGGAAAGTCCCTTATTTGTGTCACAGATGATGGGGCGAAGGAGATGTGGAGCTACAGATGAAGATGGAGCTTGCTAATAAATCCCTTCCCACCCCTAAACTTCCTTTTGACTGATACTAGCTCTAGCTGCCTTTAACTTCAGTATCCCTGGTGAGCTGAATTTCCCCATCTTGCTCTCTTCTGCCTACTTTTCTGTTCCTTCTAAACATTGTTTGCACTTATTTTGCACCTGGTTACTACTACCTTCTTCCCCACTTACCATTTTAAAGAAAACTTTCCAGCCTTCCTTGTGATAAACTTCAGCCTTACCACCATGACACAGATTAAATTATAGCAAGAGGTTAGTAATTTCCTCAGGAGTTTGTAATCCTTACTTAGGTCCAGTTGCCAGACCAACACTCTTTCTGCAGTACTAACCTGCTTCCTACATTGGGGTGGGTGTTTAAGACCCTTTAATGGCATCCTGCAATTATTAAGATAAAGAACAAAATTATTAACCCAATTTACATGGCCCCCCATGCTTTTTCCCCCTGCATACCACACTAGCCCTATCCAAGGCCACTGTCCCTGTTGCTCACCGTGTACCATCATGCTGACCTTTCAGTTATTGGACATACTATATTACTTCCTACCAACAAGACTTGCTCAGTTGTTCTATGTATTATAATATCCTGGAACTATGCCCCTCCCACTCCCATCATTACCAATTAAGTCTTTTTCCCTTAAAAGTCAGCTAAACATCTTTCCCCTTGATCACTTAGTTCTATGTACTCTCATTCTTCGTGTACTTCATGTGATTTAATAGTACAGATACTTCAGTAGCACTTACCATAATTGCCATGAAATAATTGTGTAGTTTGCTTAATATTTGTTTCTCACATTAGAATGTAAGCTCCATGAGAGCTAGGATCATGTCTGATTTCTTTGCCATTGTATTGCAGTGCCTAAAACAATATTTTCAAATTTAAGTAGTTGAATAAAAATTTATGGAATGATTACATGATTATAAGAACAATTTTTTTGCATTATAATTGAATTTTCAATTATCTGCCAGTTTCCCTCCTCACCAAGCTGTATATCTGTCAAGATAGCTGTCCTTTCCTTGAACCATCTGTCTACCATCACCACCTATGCAAACTTTGTCCAAACATGTACATCCATGTACATATATATGTGTATAGCAAGAGAGATAAATACTAAACATGTGCCCCACACATCCCCCTACACCATTTTTCTTCTTCATAATTATACAACCTAACCAAAAACTTGGAGAAGAAAAGCCAAGCTAGTCCAACAACCAAAGTCTTTATAACCCATCAAAACTAACCATTGGGAAACAGATCCAGCATACATAATAAATCTGTTTTCCATTTAGTAAGTGTAACCAGCCAACATTTATAACAATCCATAGTACATTAATATACTTGCTGAATTACGAGAAAAATGCATATGAGTTCTAAAATAGTCACTTTATATAAGGTTAAAAAAAAAAAAAACATTTTGAGTTAATAGCAATAAATGTTCAGCCTGGTCTGGATAGAGAACCCTAATCACATCGCTAAAAAATTGGCTTGTCTATCTGACTTCTTCCCCCACCCAATGTTTTTCTTCCTAATCCCAGGACTAGCTGTCTACAAATCATATTTCCAGTCATTCTACAACATTTATTGAGGAGCTATTGTAGTCACTGTTCTGGGTGCTTGGCGCTGTATACAGATAAATACAAATGTGAATGTTAAATATCCTTGGGGGCTTCAGAAAAGATAAGACACCACTTCCAAGGAAAGAAAGGGGCTTGATTATTGTTTTCCCTTAACTGTTAATTGTGCATTCTTTTTTTAAAAACCCAACTGAATTTTTTAAGTTGTTTACTTGAACTATAGCAAATACACAGAAAAGTGAACAAATCTTAAGTGGACAAGTATTAAATTATCATAAACTGAACATGTATAACCACAACCCAGGTCAGAGAAACAGAACATTGCTAGCACCCCAGGAGTCACTATATCCATATTATTGCATATAACAGTAGTTCATTTTCATTGTTATGTAGTATTCCATTGTATGACTATACCAAAATTTGTCTGTCTATCGTTGAACATTTGGGTTGTTACCCATTGGGAATATCATAAGTAATACTACTATAAACTCTCTTGTACATGTCTTTTGGTCCACATGTGCACACATTTCTGAGGAAATCTACCTAGAATTGCTGGGTCATAGTATTAAACTTCAGTAGATAATACCAAATAGTTTTCTAAAATACTTGTACAAATTTACATTTCTACCAGAAGTACGATAGTTTCCATTGTTCCACATTCTTGCCCATATATGGGATTTCTAGTCTTTCACATCTGAGTCCATTTGCAGAGTGGATAGTAGTGTTTTTGTTTTTCATCCCCTGATTACTGATGAAATTAGTAAGGAAATACCTTTTCAAATATTAATTGGATATTTGGGTAGCTTTCAGTGACATGCCCTTTTAAATCTAGCCCATTTTTCTAGCCCATTAGTCTGGCTTTTCTTGTTGATTTAGAATTTTTAATAGATTCTACCTCGAAGTCCTTTTTCAGTTAAATGTTATCATTTCCCACTGTGGGTTGCCTCTTGGTTCTTAATAATGTCTTTTGATGTACTGAAGTTCTTAATTCTGATGTAGTCCAAATTACCAATAATTTTCTTTATGCTTAATACTTAAAACATTCTACTATGCTGTTTGTAATAAACTTTGTTGTTTTTACTTTTTATATTTAGATCTAATTCAGAATTGATTTTTGTGTTTGGTGTGAGGTAGGATTTAAGTTTCATTTTTCCCAACATTGATACCCATTTGACTCAGCATCTTTTACTGAAACTACTAGCATTTCTTCTTGGCCTTGCAATGTCAACTTTGTCATAAATCAAGTGCCCTTTATATGCATAGGTCTGTTTCCACATACTTTATTCTGTTTCACTTATCTGTTTGCTTGTCTTAGCAAAAATATCACAGTGTCTTATATAGCTTTATTAAGAATTAATATCCAATTGATTAATACCTCTTGTTCATATTTGTGGATATTTTGACTATGTTGGGCTCTTTAGATTTCTAGATACATTTCAGAATTGGTTTGTCAATTTTCACAAATTATGTACTAGGATTTTGATTATGACTCCATGGAATTCATATGAATGTGGGAATAAATGGCATATTGACAATATTGATTCTTCTAATCCATGAACACATATCTCCATTTATTTGGGTTTTTAAATTTCTCTTAAAAGTTACTCATGGTATTTGATATAGAGGTCTTATATATCTTTCATTAGATTTATTCACAGCTATTTGATTTTGCTACTATAAGTGGTATTTTAAATTTTATAATCTATAAGTATATATTGATAAATTAATTTTTGTTGAACTTGTATCCAAAAATCTTGTTAAACTCACTTATTAATTTCAATAGTTTATAAATTCTCTTGAATTTTATACATGTACAAAAATATCATCTGAAAAAAGTGTTTGATGTTCGTGTTTTTATTTCATATTCTTCCTGTTGCACTGGCTTGAACTTCCAGTACAGTGTGGGGAACAGAAGAGGTGAGGGGAATCCTTTTCTCATTCCTAATTTCAGAGGGAAAACCTTTAATATTTCCCCATTTGATATGATTTTTACTATACTTTTTTATAGCTCTCTTTGTAATAAAAAGAAATGTTCCCCTTTATTCCTAGTTTAAATTATAAATAATGGTGAATTTTATCAAATGGTTGTTCTGAATCTATTAAGGATAACATTTTTATTATGTTAATATAGTAAATTATAGTAAATTATATTGCTTGATTTTAAAATATAGAATCAAACTTGCATGGCTAAAATAAACTCCACTTGGTCAAAGTGCTTTATTCCTTTCCCATATTGCTTAATAAAATATTAGCTAAAATAAAATATTTAGGATTTTTGTATCAGTGTGCATGAGTGAAACTGGTCTACAGTTATTTTCTTTCTTGGAATGCCTTTCTCAGGTTTGGTATGAAGATTATGCCAACAGATTTGGAATTGTTCTCTCTTTTTTCATTTTCTGGAATGTTTATATAAAATGCCATTATATATGCATTAATAAATTTGGTATTAATATTTGGTAGAACTCATTGATAAGACAGGAGTTTTCCTTTTGGAAAGGTTTTTTATGATGGATTCAATTTCTTTGTTATAATATTATTCAGAGTTCTTTTGTTTATCCATATTGGTAAATAGTATTTTGTTTATCCATTTTGATAAATAGTGTTTTTTAATTTGTCTGTTCCATCTAAATTTTTAAATGTATTGACACAAAACCTTCATGATAATCTTGTATTTGAAAAAATTCTGTTTGAGTGAAGTAATTTTTGCTTTTTCATTTTTTCTTGATCAGCTTCACCAGATGGGTTATTGATTTTTTTTTTTTTTTTCTTTTTTAGACGGAGGCTCACTCTGTCACACAGGCTAGAGTGCAGTGGCTCAATCTCGGCTCGCTACAACCTTTGCCACCAGGGTTCAAGCAATTCTCCTGTCTCAGCCTCCCGAGTAGCTGGGATTACAGGTGCCTGCCACCATTTCTGGCTAATTTTTGTATTTTTAGTAGAGATGGAGTTTCACCATCTTGGCCAGGCTGGTCTCAAACTACTGACCTCCAGTGATCCACCTGCCTCAGCCTCCCAAAGTGCTGGGATTACAGGCGTGAGCCACCGCGCCCCACCAGTTTATCGATTTTTATTAGTTTTTTCAGAGAAGAAACTTTGCCTTGTTGATCTTCTTTCTAGAATTTTTTTTCATTTATTTCACTTATTCATTATTCCCTTCCTCTACATTTTAAAATTTTGTCCACTGCTCTGTTTTTAACTTCTTAAGAAGTTAAATTATATCATTGATTTTCAGAATTTTTATGGTGAATGGTAAATGGCACAGCTAAGTTTCACAAGCTGATTTCCCAAATGTAGAATTCAGTAGAATGGTGTTGATAGAGGAAAACCTGGGTTCTGAGAGGGGGATATGTTCGAGATATTTTGTGGAATACTTTTTGCATGATACTAATAAATCCAACCTAAATTAAGCCCAATTAATTTTTTTATCCTAATATGTGCATTGAAGATTGTAAGTCCCCACCTAACATGGCTTTACTGAATCTTACAAGTTTTAGGTATGGAGTATTTTTATTATTATTTAGTACAAATTATCTAATTTCCATCGTGATTGTATATTTTATTTGAGGGTTATTAGAAGTACATTTTTTAATTGCCATATCTCTGGGCATTTTTTAGTTAAATTTTTGCAATAGATTTCTAGGTCAATTACACTACTGCCAGACAAACTACAATATATGGACTTAATCTTTTGCAATTTGTTGAAACTTGTAACATGCCCAAAATAGTTTTTTAAATGTTCCATATGTACTTGAGATGAATGTGCGTACTGCACTTGGATAGTGTTCCGCTATGTCTATTAATCATATTTAAATTTCCTATATCCTTTTGGAATTTTTATCTTATTCAATTAATTACTAAGAAAGTGATGTTGCAATCTTCCACTGCGATTTTGAATTTACATATTAATCTTCAAATTCTACCCATTTTGTGGTCTATATCTTGAAGTTATTAGGTTATTAGCAATGTTATTAGGTATGTATATATTTTGAATCAAACCTGCATGGCTATGTTACTAGGTATATAGTGCTAATATAGCAACACCAGGTTTCTTTAACTTAGTGTTTGCATAGTACATCTGTTTCCATCCTTCTACTTTCAGTCTTTTCTGTGTTGTCCTTAAAAGTTTAGGCATGGCCGGGCACGGTGGCTCACGCCTGTAATCCCAGCACTTTGGCAGGCCAAGGCGGGAAGATCACGAGGTCAGGA